ATCCTCCTGAAAGGCGTATACTCTTCTTTTTGTCATGATAGTTCGTTCCTTTCTTCGTTGATAATATTCTTTATTATAAGTAGTCGTCCTCTGAGCAGCACTTATAACACTCACAGAGGAATCTTCATTGATATTTGTTTCGTTTGTCTCCATTGTAGTGCAACTTGTGAGTGTTGTAGGTTGACTACATCCTTCACCAGTAGCTATCCTTCTCATTTTGCTTTTCTCCTTTTTTCGTGCATAATAGTTTCTATTGTATCTTTTTCGAGTTTCTACAAATATATTATTTGGATAAATACTCATATATTATAAATGCAAATATATATTCATATAAACGACATACCTTTTTCTATATCTATCGGGTTTTGGGAATCATCACAGTTTTCGTTTCCCTTATCTACGGTCCTCATTGAACACTATAATGGAAATGTTAAGAATAAACACATATTATATCATCAAGAATGTAACATTTTGTAATGTAGACCATATGATTTAGTAGTCATGTATGTGTGTGTTTCAGAAAGCAACACAACCCTTAATAAATAACCAAATATACTATAAACTTGTAATAAAAAAACACAATAGAAGAAAGTTATACATAGTTAAAAGAAAATTTTCATAGATATCCAAAAATTATTATTTATCAATTCATAAGTCAACACAAGAAAAATAAACCACACATGAAAAAATTCACCACAATATGTCTAACATTAATGTAGATAAACAATAAAAGCAACGCACTCGTAAAACTTGTCAAAACTTCAAAAAAAAAACACCACCAAATGTCTCACACAGAATTAAAAATTCTTCTAGGCATATTTATGATGTTAAATGCTTCCGGCATCCGCGGTTGGAACTCTACGTTGCTTAGTTTGGTTGATATCAAAATGTTCACTGAAAATAAGATAAAAACTATTAAAATGTGTTGATTTAGTTATTTTAATATCACTACAAGTATTATAATTTTCTAGAAAAAAACTTACTTGAATCCAAATGAACCAATTTCACCCGAGAAACAAATATTATATACTTTCTCTTTATCGCATAAACAGTCCTCACAATCTGATGGCGTGTCCGGTCGGTTATATGTAGTTTCATCTTTATTATACTCCCCCTATTTATAATCAAATATTTCCAAAGTCACCTAATTTTGCTTTAGTGTAATAATAATAATAATAATAATAATAATAATAATAATAATAATAAACACTTACGACTCATCTTGGAGATATAAAGTGAAAGAAGTTAGAGTCAGTAAACCAAAGTAACGGGAATATTTTCGCTTGCCTCTGATGATTTTTCCAACAATATCTAAAAATAACGATAATTAAAAAGACAACTTGTTATTGTTTTAAAAACTTTAGAACGCTAAAAAATATATATAATTAATTAAATTTACCGATCATCATTTTTCTCTCTGTCCGATCCTCTACTAAACTTTTTATTGAGGGAACCAATGGGAAAACCGGAAACCATGATATGATAGCATCGGCCAAACGATTAAACATTGCGTTATTGCTGATCTTAATCATCAAATCGTCACGTAATAAACTGTATTCTTGATACCTCGGATACTCACCATAGGTTGGTTCGATTTGGAAATGGTTTAAAGAAAACACACCACCCAATAGATTCCCTCCATAAATAAGGCGCATCATTTGTTGTGGAACAACTGCTAACAATTTCTTTCTCTAATAGAAAATGTAATATTTTTATAAACAAAATAATTATGATTAATTATGAAAATGAAAATAAGATATAAATAGTTTTTTAAACATACATTTTGATCAATGAGAATCATGAAAAGTTTGTTTGCTCCTGAGTCCCTCCAAATGAAATCAACACGAACTGGTGTCAAAACATACCACAAATGGTAGTTTAGTAGCAATGAAAATGCATCAACATAAATATGACCATTCATGATTCTACAAAACAAAAGTCAGATGTGATTGATGTAGAATTGGTTTATATCATTATTTATATTAAAAACTATATCGATTTGAGATGTCCAAAGTATAATAACATATAATGATTGTGGTTATTTGAAATCACATTACATAAGTTCGATCTTGTTACTCTTCGGTCACAGGTTTCTTGTTTTAACATATTTTAGATATTGTTAAAATTGATATATTTTGTTAGATTATGTGGTAAAATGATTCACTTAGTATCTATTATATCACTGTCAAAACTTCTTGATATTATCTATATTATAAAAACTAATTTTAATAGTTTTCTTTGGACTTAAAACTTTCTACACCCACTTATAAAAAAAATTAGTTATGGTTGGATCAGTTTAATATTGTAACCAATTTATCAAGTTTCAAGTAAAATAGCTTTATATATCCTACAACTTAATACTTAGTAATTTAGATCTTAAGCCAAATAACATTTATTAATAAAAATGTAACTTGTCAAATAAAAAAAAGTCTAATTGTATCTAAAACCCAATAATAATAATAATAATAATAATAATAATAATAATAATAATAATAATAAAAAAGATAGTATTGATAAAGAAGAAAGAAACTGGTGGCCATGGTTTTTTGGCAAGTTGAAGCCGTAAAATGAGTCAACCGTTGATGAGTGGTATCGGAGGGTGGAAAATTAAGTGATGATTGGGAGTGGAGATGGGTTGCGACACACGTGGTTGGATGGATAACATCTCATGATTTCTGCTTCCTCCTCCCTCACACAGTCCATGTGTAAAGCAATAAAGCCAATTTAATGTAAAATCACACCCAATAATAATCACTCCTTTATGCTAAAACACTTTTTTTAAACATATGAAAAAAAAACCAAACAAAACTATAAAAAGTTATAAAAATATTAATTATATAAGAAAAACTATTTTTTTAAATAAAATTTGAAAACAGTATATACAAATTAATATCATTTAATTTATCAAATCAATATATATTCACAATAAAAACGCCATGCTTTAAGGTGGCTTAATTTTGTCTGTATTGTATTAATCTTATTTGACAGGGTGAAATATCAATTAATGAAAAAAACTTAATACATATGGTCACTTATCGACAGATTAACTCAAACTCAAAAACACAATGTCCAAACTTATACGTATACATATACAAACCACACATATGTACAATGTCAGAAACAAATACATACACACATACATACATATACACATAGATACATATTATATGCATGTATTATTTGAGATAGAGAATAAGAAGATTATCAATTTAGATAGAAGACAGAATAAGATTATCATTTGAAACAAAAGAAGTCTATCACTTCAAATAGAAGTAAGAAATAAAAAATTATACACATTTGAAGTTACAAAATATAAAAGAAGTAAAGAGAACCTGAATTCGTGTCAAGAAACGCGATGAAACAATCTTCCTGATTCCAAATCAATGCTCCAATCGTCCAAAACCCCAATTGTGAAATTTTGTTGTGAGAGTTAAAAATGAAGAACATAATTTAAATTTATAGGTAGAATAATCTATTATAGAATAGAAAATGATGTATTTTTGGATATTGATAATCATTCAAAAATTAAGCAAATTAAAATCTTACCATGAATATTAAAATACATACCAAAAATATTTAAAATCTTACAAACTTAACAAATATACTAAAAAAATTTGAAATAAATATAATAACTATCAAAATCCATATCAAAAGTATCTCAAATCATATGAAACTTAACAAATATACTCAAAAATTTAAAAATAAATATAATATTTGTCGATTTTATTTTTGGAAAAATATACTAATCTAAAGAATAGTTTAACACATCGGTAAAAGTTGACCAAAGGGTTATTAATAAAGCTTTGTCGATTTTACTTAATGGTCTTTTTCACTTAATCTGGGCATAGTAACTTAATGGGTTAAGCCCAAAATATGCAAAGACCAAAATATGAGTTAACTAAAGAAGTAAAATAAAAAAAACATTTTCCAAATTTTTAATAAACGGATAAAGAAAGAAGAATAAACAAGGGTGAAGGGTACAAATGCAACTTTGTTTGTAAATTACCTTTAAATAGGGCGTAATTTAATTTCAGACTCCTTATCGAGGCTGATTTTGTCATTTTATACTTTTGGGCATCCAACAAAACTCAGTCTGGTGTGTTATGTCCTAATACTAAAACAAAAGCAAATTACAAAAATGTCCATTGTTTTTCATAAGAGCTGCAATGTATAAAGTTTTACCACTAGGAGAAGCCCTACAACAAGTAAAATTTATTTTTTTTAAATGTAGTAAAACAAAGAAAGTATATAAAATTGAGAGATTACAATTCCTTTAAAAAGTTTATACAAACTAAAAGTTTTTAAATCATTATTTGGAGATAAAATGTAAAAATATAATGAATACTTACGCCATGTCAACAATTCGTTCTTCCTTTTGAGGAGCAACAGCCATTACATGTAGAAAAGAGCTTGCACTTTGCACCTGTAAAGAATAAGCAAAATTTATAATTTCAAATAAATAAACAAATAAAACAGTTGTAATTGTTCAAGGGGCTGGAGGTTTGAACCAGTGAACATTTCTGATGTGTGGGTGTCGAATTGTTATCTAAAGCATATGAATTTTGGAAAGGACTGCAAATAAATCGAGACCATATTTTATCAACAAGTTTGTAGAAATAACAAAACCTTAATAGCAAAAAAATAAATTTAGGAAAAAATGTCTTTTCTGTAAGTGAAACCTATGAAGAATACGAAAAAAGTAAACTAATAAATAAAATATCATACGGAAACATTATAAGTTAAAAAAATATATATTATTGAGATGTTGACCTGATCAGCTTGTAACATTCGTTTGACACATTGACTATTTACATAACGAAACTTTGATGAAATATTTGAGAAATTGGGAGATAAAGTAACGCACAAATGTAAACAGAATACAATCATGAACAGAGGAATTACCTCGTCTTCTTCATCTTGGGGATCATAAAATCCTGCATCATACATTGATCTCTTCTTCTGATTTGATAGAACCGTTGAAATTTCCAGCATTGAAAAACTTAGATCTCAATTCTACATGCATGTCGTCTATCCCACTCATCCGTGTTGATGCTACTTTCTTCTCTTGTCTACAATCATAGAATCACAAACATTGAAAAATTTTGAAGAACGAAAGTAATTAATTATGTTAAAAAGAAAAAAAATATAAATATATTCAAATGAATTTCTGACAATGGAGTTGTTGTCTGCAAGATGAGACCCCCAAAAGATGTTGGAGTCGAAGCTTCCTTCATCTGAAAGCTTTCTGCGCTGGTCACAAACTCGAGCTTGGACACAAACCAGTGCTTGCTTACACTTGACTATCATCTTTGTTCTCCTCCTTACATTGTGTCCTCTCACCAGGGCTTGTAGCTTCAGAACTCCTTTAAGAGCCTCAACAGCTCTCCTTGCCTAAACTAACCAAATCTTATATATTGTTAGTATCTGGTGAATATTGAAGCTCCATCGTTGCTAATTATAGCCAATTAGTGAAAAATTAAATAAAGACATATTATAAGTTACCAGGTATCGTTTAAAGAAAGTCTGTATAACAAGAGCAGCATTGTGCTTTTGAAACGAAAATGAAGGACTTGTGAGCCGGATCACTTCAATCGTGCCTGAACTGTAGCAACTGTTGATTTGATAGAATTACCTGAATAAGCTTCCTGAATTTGTTTCCATTCATTTAAAAATACCAATTTAAAAATGATGGAAATAAAACACTTCTATCAAAACAGAGGAATTACCTGATACAACACAAATTGTAGCTGATAGATCTTTCTAGTCGTTATGTTGTTATCTCTAGTAAGCCTCACGTCTAAGAAGCATTCATAGTTCCCCAAAACTATAGCTTTTCTCCTGTCAAATCCAATAATTTCTGCATGTTAGATTTAAATCCGATGGTAGTAATACAAGTCAAATTTATGGCTGGAAAAACAGTGTAAGGAAGTGCCTGATGAAACATGACATTCATCAAAATATAAACATTTTGTAGAAAATTAGCATTGAAAATAGATGTAATTAGGCATAATAGTTTGTAAAGACAATTTTACTTATAAATGCAATTCATCAGGTGTAAGGACATCGGTTTGGTAACTTTTTAGAATTAATTGATGGGTTCTGAAACATTGCCATTGTTCATAAAATCTACCTTTAGTAAAACTGAAATTAGTGAACAAAACCAAAGTCACAGGTTACCAAACACGAAAAGATGCTACATCAATCTGTTCTATAGCACCAACTTGAAAACCAAGCAACCCCAGATGCTTTAACCTACTAATCGGACGTGGAAGCAATTTTGGATTCTTTTCTGCAACCAAAAAATATGAGATAAAAGTTAGATTTTAACTTACCCAATAAACATACCCCATTGTGCAAACTCCAGTTGAGGAGAGCATAAAAAAAAATTTGTATTATCATAAATATGTTGAATATGGGTTTGAGGGTACCTGTGGTGGCTGAGGGAGGTTACGAAGGTGGTGGTAGGCGGCGGAATCAAGCTTTAAAGGTGGTGGTAGGTGGCGGAATCAACTATTGAAAGGTCTGTGTTTTACTGAGACCTGATTAGTCATCAGCAACGGCATCTCAAGATGAATGATGCAGATCTTTAGGGTTTTTCAGGATCGAATATGCTAAGACCTAATTCGTCGTCAGCAGCGGCATCCTCCTCCCCTCCGTGTTCGGGATCTTTGATAGCTGATACCTAAGAGCGTGTTAGGGTGAAAATCGAATGCGGGGAAAGGGGCATCTTTGGTGGTGTCGATGTGAAGATGGGTTTGAGGGTACATGTGGTGGCTGAGGGATGTTACGAAGGTGAGATGAATGGGTTAGATGGCAGATCTTTAGGGCTTTTGAGGATTGAAGATGCTAAGACATCTGTTAGGGTGAAAATCGAAGGCGATGAAAAGGTTTATATTGGAAACGCTGGAGATCCACCATGTTAAGAACTCGACTGCTTGAAAGCTGATGATCAGATTGAGGATCGAAGATGCTGAGTATCATTAATCTGTCCTCATGATCATCTCCGGATCTCCGAATCTGTTCATCACCCCCTCTGCCTCTGGATCTGTTAATCTGTCGATGTGAATAGGTTAGATGGTTGTGGTTAGGAGATTAGGTAAGGTCATTGTATGGTGTAGTATACGATCCTTGTGTAGCGTGTAGTGTAGTATAATACGTATATTACTTAATGTAATTGTACATAAGGTATGATATGTTGTACCTCTTAATTTTCAAGAGGTGGACAATATCCTTAATAATATAGTAAAGATATATATATATATATATATATATATATATATATATATATATATATATATATAGATTAATCTTGTAATATTATATTAGTATAGGGTTGTATTTTAAACTTGTAAAATTCTAGGGTTTGAAATTTAAATTGTCTAAATTAAACTTTTAATCACAAATCATAAATTTCAAAACTTGAGGACAAGTTTTAAACATTTAAAACATAAAGGATCAAATAATAAATAATCTAAATCACATAATTATCTATATTTGATTAATAATTATCATATAAGGAAATCAAATATTTTATTAATTGATAATTATCTTCAATTAGATCAAAAATATAGTCATATATATCACAAAATCGGATTAGGGTTGATCTAATATGATTAAGGTAAGTTTCCATAAGATAAATATGAAAAAATCCCGTTTTTGGCTAATCCTGACGCTCGGACTCGCCGAGTACACAAAGGGACTCGCCGAGTCAGGCCTACTCGCCGAGTCCACTTTGGAACTCGCCGAGTCCATGACTCAGAAACATAAAATTCGAATTTTTCAGTTTAGTTTCATACAATCAAGCAACAATTCAATGAAAACCAAGCTAGGCTCTGATACCACTGATGGGTTTTAGCCATAAGAACTTTCCTATGTGCGCATGCAAAACCCTAATGCTTGGATCTAGGCTTTCTAATCAAACATGCTTTGAATCCAAGACTTCTAATGACTATTTAGGTGTAATAACAATATTGAAACAGATCTAGAATCATACCTTTGAATTCCTTGTTGATCTTGTTGTCTTGGAGCTTCTAGAGTCACAATTGTCACTCCTCTAATGGCTTACAAACACCAACTAGCAAAGAGGATGATTTGGGAGAGAGGAGAGGGGAGGAATTCGGCCAGAGTCTCTCTACTTTAGATGGGATGTCGAATTCTCTCAGCCATAGGGTCTATTTATACTTGTAGACTCCTTAAGGGTTACAGCTTAAACCCTAATTGGATAACTTAGACTTTAAGTTAATCCATATCCTTTCCTTGATAACCCTATGGACGATTTTGGCTTATCCTAGCCTTAGAAATCGTCCAATCCTTTATCAATAAGGATTTACAGTCTAAAGTGTAACTATCAAGCAATTGACAGTTTATACCCTCTTATTTAATTAATCTCTTTAAGTCACCAAATTAACTCCAATTAATTCTATGACTTATATTAATCAAATAACAATATATTATTCTTTATATTATTCTCATAATATACTAATAATATTTACTCTCTCTTAATAAATCATCCTATCAAGTTGCTATGGTGAAGGCAACCCAAAAGGACCATCCACAATCGGGTTAAATACTTGCCTAATATAGTTGCAGCCTTAGACACTATTCCAACACTTGAGTCGACCCCCATTCTCTTCGGGTCGATCAAGGAAGGGATCATCGAGTTGATAGAGGATCGCCTCATGGCGTTTAGGAGCAACATGGCATCCGGCCAGTCGGGATCTCGCACATTGTCCTTTAAGGACTTCAGTGGTAGTGGTGCGCCGGATTTCCACGGGGTTAAAGACCCCATTGCCGCCAGACGATGGATTGCAGATATCGAGTCTGCACAGCTGACTAGCTTCTACCCCGAGGGGTCGAAGGTGAGGTATGCAGCAGGGTGTTTGCGAGATTGAGCTCGAGACTGGTGGGAGTTAGTGGGTGACTCGTTGGGAGCCTCATCTATCGAGGGTATGGCCTGGTCGGACTTTGTGACCAGGTTCAGGGCAGAGTTTGCGTTGGCTGTCGAGCTTCAGCAGCTGGCCCGGGAGTTTTTGGATATGAGGCAGACGACTGAGACCGTGGCGGAGATCACCACCAAGTTCCGGGAGAGGGCCTTGTTGGTGCCCCAGTATGCAGGTGACAAGTATATGAGGAGGACCCGTTATCATGATATGCTTCGGGCTGACATCCGGGAGCATGTTAGCTTTTCAGCTTGCCCTACCCCGGAGTCCATGATCACCAGGGCGAGGGAGAGGGAGATTGATTTAGAGCACATTCGAAAGAGGAAAGCAGAGGCGGGTCAGGTGATTGGGACTTCAGGAAAGAAGTCCCGGGGATCAGATGGGAGGCCGAAAGGCCAAGGAGGACCAGGCCGCTACGGGGAATGCAGCAGGACACATGAGGGAGCATGTCGGCGGGGATCAGAAGGCTGCTACAAGTGCGGCAAGGCAGGGCACTTTAGCAGGGATTGTACTACTCCCGTTGCGGAAATACGGACATCTGAGTTACTGTGTTTCCACTGCAACCAGAGGGGCCACAAGAAGGCCAATTGCCCCCAGTTGACAGGTTCAGCGCCGGTAAAGGCGCCAGCCCCAGCGACCCTGCGGATCACCGATGGCCGACAGGGCAAGGCAGAGGCTCCAGTGGTGAGGAGCCGAGCATTCCAGCTGACCACCAAGGAGGCACACGTAGCACCCGATGTGGTGACGGGTATGATTCTTTTCCTTCTTGTTTATTTATATGATGTTATGATATTGAGATGTGCCCGGTATATGTGTATGTGTTAGGATCGTTCCATGTGAATGGTATCCCAGTCCAAGTGTTTTTCGACTCGGGTGCATCCCGATCCTTTGTGTCCCTTGCGCTTAGCAAGAAGTTTCCTGAGTCTTCAGGCATGCTGGATTGCCCTTTGGAAGTAGAGATTGCTGATGATCGATCGGTGCGAGCATCGATGGTATTTCGGGACTGCATATTGCGGTTGTTCGAGGAGCGCTACTTGGTGGATTTGGTTCCCATTCCGTTGCGTGGGAACAAGGTGATCATAGGCCTGGACTGGTTGAGCCCTAATGGGGCGGTGATAGATTGTGCGTAGCTGCTAGTGCGAGTCAGGACCCTAGGTAGGGGAGAGTTAGTGATTCATGGCGAGAAGCCAGAGCGCGGACCCACTGTATGTTCAGCAGCGATGGATAGATGTTATCTTCAGCAGGGATGTGCAGGATACATTGCGTATGTGATGGATACCCGGGAGGTGGGTAATTCGACCGTGAGCGAGGTTCCAGTGGTGCGAGATTTCGCAGTTGTTTTCCCAGAGGAGCTTCCTGGGATACCTCCCGAACGATAGGTGGAGTTCAGGATTGACCTTGTTCCTGGTGCGGCCCTGATAGCCAAGGCACCATATCGGTTGGCTCCTCCTGAGATGCAGGAGTTGTATACGCAGCTGCAGGAGCTGCTAGACAAGGGATTCATTAGGCTGAGCAGTTCACCATGGGGAGCCCCAATTCTGTTTGTGAAAAAGAAGGACGGGTCGCACCGAATGTGTAGAGATTATCGGGAGTTGAATAAGGTAACGGTGAAGAACCGTTACCCACTCCCGAGGATTGATGATCTTTTTTACTAGCTTCAGGGAGCATCTTGGTTCTCCAAGATTAATTTGCATTCGGGTTATCATCAGATGAGGGTCGGGGAGGAGGATACGCAGAAGACCGCGTTTCGGACGCGCTATGGCCACTATGAGTTCGTGGTGATGCCGTTTGGGCTCACCAATGCTCCTGCCGCGTTCATGGACCTCATGAACCGCGTATGAAGACCGATGTTGGATCGGTCTGTGATAGTCTTTATCGATGACATCTTGGTTTATTCCAAGACGCAGGAGGAGCATGAGGAGCATCTGAGGGAGGTTTTGGAGACCCTGAGGAGGGAGAGCTTATATGCCAAGTTCTCCAAGTGTGAGTTTTGGTTGTGCGAGGTGCAATTTCTCGGACACCTTGTCAACCAGAACGGGATTCTGGTCAATCCGGCCAAGGTCGAGGCCGTGATGAGATGGGAGGTTCCGAAGTCTCCATCTGAGATTCGGAGTTTCCTAGGATTGGTGGGCTATTATCGGAGGTTCATTCAGGATTTCTCCAAGATAGTTGTACCCTTGACACGGTTGACGAAGAAAGTCGTGGTCTTTCTGTGGGGACCTGAGCAGCAGGCAGCATTCGAGACACTGAGACAGAGATTGTGCGAGGCGCCAATCTTAGCCCTGCCAGAGGGCGTGGAGGACATTGTGGTTTATTGTGACGCGTCTATTTCTGGGTTGGGCGTGGTATTGATGCAGATAGGGCATGTCATTGCCTACGCTTCGAGGCAGCTCAAGCCTTACAAGGCGAACTACCCGACGCATGATTTGGAGTTGGGGGCAGTGGTTTTCGACCTCAAGGTTTGGCTGCATTACCTCTATGGGGTTTGATGTACCATTTACACGGACCACAAGAGTTTGAGGTACCTTGTGGATCAGCCAAATCTAAACATGAGGCAGCGTTGATGGTTGGACGTGGTGAAGGATTATGATTGTGAGATCCTTTACTACCCGGGAAAGGCCAACGTGGTGGCCGATGCGCTTAGCCGCAAGGCGGCACCGATCAGGGGTATGTGCTTGAGGATGACTGTGGTGACTCCCCTGTTGGAGCAGATCTGGGTGGCTCACCAGGAGGCTATCAAGGAGGAACATCGGAAGAGCGAACGTGTAGTGGGTCAGGTTTCCTCCTTCGATTATGATAGTCGAGGACTATTGACACTGCACCGCAGG